TTTTTTTTTTTTTTTTTTTTGCCAAATTACTGCAATTAAGTGCACCTTTCAAATAAATATTCTTTAAATATGTAAAAATAAAAGCAAGTTTTTAAAGTGTTTATTTAGAGTAAAAACTTAATAAATTGAATCCGAGGACAGTTGCGTCAGAAACGGAATTATAAGGCTTCCATATCTGTTAAAGAAGACAATCTAATTATAAGCAGTAAAATGAAATGACAAGCAGTTCTTTGCTGACAAATATTGCACACGTCAGTAATGGTCAGTGTTGAGGTTAAAGCTGTTTTTAGCAGGTGAAACCCGAGTTTACATGCCTCTTCTATTAACTGTATGATTTATAGCCTGGGAAAAAACCAGAGCATTTATTACTGCATATGTATTTCAGAAGAAGTACAAAAAAACTGCTTGCAAAAAAATACTCAACATTCCAGATGGATGGAAGCTTTGCAACAATAACAACGAACGAAATAAACCTTGTAAGTTACGCTAACAACGTAGCATGAGGATGACCCAGAGATCATAACCTCAGTACAAAATTGACTAGCAAATGACATTACAACTCTTTTTTCACGTCGTTCACTTCCATGCCAACTCTACTCGTTCCTTCTTTCGCTGAAATACTCATCAGCTATATCCGAATTCCACATACCCTCCTGCCTGACACCGTATATTCTGACAGAGGAAATAAAAAATGTGCTTGGTTAAATCACTTCCAAAAGAAACATAAAATACAGTGAATTTTTGAGAAATCCCCTGTTTATAGCAACATTGTCCAAACACTTTCCACCCATTAAAAAGCCAGCCAAACAAATCTTAAACAGTTATTCCTACAGTTACATGACAGTGTGATGATAACATTGTAACGCTCGGCCCTAAAGAAGTACTAAGAATATAGACCGATCTAAACCTGAAAATCCCCGAACTCGTAGTTCTCTGTTTAATTGCGGCATTAGGCACAAAAAGTTTTGCTCTTCAAATAATAATGTATCAAAACAAATAAAGTCTCAGGCGTTGATACTAAACACATTTCATTGACCTGGCAAAATTTGTTTTTCTGATTTGCTACCTGGCCATTTGGTTATGTCGTTTCAAATAAACGCGGGTAATAAAAATCAGATCAATCTTCTAAATCATCAACAGATATTGTTTCCGTTTTTTTTTCATTTTTTCTTTTGGTGGACTTCTAGGAAAAGCAAACAATTTGGAATTTTATTGAGGATACTAGGATTTTTCCACAAGTTTTTCACTTATCTGAGAATGGCAGCGTTTCTCCACTAGAAGCAAGATTGTTTGTTAGTAATAGTAACGGGATGATAAAAATTTGTACTTTCTCCAATCATAATTTATATTAGCCTACAGGTCACTACTGAAATGTACAGCCCAAAAACCAATCTCGATTGTCTTCATTACGTTAACAAATTACATGTAACTGTGATCAATAATAATTAGTAGTTTTACTGGTAAAAAAAGCAATTTACAGAGAGACTTGTCAACAGTCGTCTCTAATCTTCTTCAACAGTTTCATGAAAGAAGTTCCTCCAGTTCCAACGTCTTGTACACCTCGACTAGCTTGTGAAATTATGTAACTGACCACCTTCAAAAAATTGTACATTTGAGATGAGCAAATATGGTAGGAGATGTGTTCAACCTTTTGTTGGCTTTAGATTAAGAAAAAAAAAAGCGGAAAAAGAAAGGAGGAGTAAAATTTACAATTTTGATATGCTCGTCTCGGAAACGTCTTAACGCCTTTAAAGTCTCTGCATATTCTTCAAAATCTGGAATTCCCGGAATCAAAGCTGATCTAGCTTCAATCCATTCAATAAACTGTTTGTGTGCGGGAAGCATGTATTTTCTTTGCTCCAATAAGAATTTCTTTTCAGAACCTGAATGCTTAACTTGAAGGAAACCATCAACAACGTGCAATGTAGAACTTTGCGCCGCTGAACCTCCGTTAAACATTTGGGGTCCCATCTGCTCTTTACCTGAAATTTTACACTGGTTCATTTTTAGACTTTAAATTACAGTAAAAAATACCTTTACTGTTGACAATTTGTTGTATAAAAAATTTTCTGATTCTGGAAGAAAAGGTTGAGTAATAAAATGAAAATACTTTGTAGTCCCCAATAGTTCTGCTGTATCAAAGAGACATATTACTCATTGAAAAATAGTCAGATGGTTCTATAAAAAACCTTCAAGAACTATCCCTCCTTGATCTAAGAATTTTCCTTCGGTGTAACCACTAAGGAATAGGCGAAAGCCATGATAGAAAACCTCTGGTGGAAGCCTTTCATTCATTCGCTAAAGTAAAATATTTTAGTCATTGAGTAATATGGTAGATAAGTGGAGATAATGCTCAGATAAGAAAAAAAATCTTTAAAAATTACAAACTTTTTTGTTGCTTTGGACTCTCACTTCATTGACGTCATTTTTCGGTGGCAGTATAACTATTACATATATTTACTGCTTTATTCGATACAAAACTCAAAAATTATACTGTTTTAGCTGTGTAAAATATTTAAAAAAAGTGCTTTAGTCATTTGTTAATGAATTTTGCGAAAAAAAAAATTTCTTGTAACCTTTACAAAGAATTTTAATGCAATAAGATATTTAACCATTGTAAAGTTGATAGCAATTCCCAACTTTCGACTCAAAGTTATGTCAGTAAGCAGTCATAGAAAAATTTTAAGACGAGAGAGTGAAAAATGAAATTTATAACAATAAAAAGTTTTTACTATGTACTTTTATTGAGATCGTTGCATTCGCCAAGGACCGTCGTATTTCACTGAAGGTATTATCGTGAATCTTTAGTTCATAACAAGCCCGAGCTATAGCTACAACTGCTGGAGCAAATTCTGTTTCCAACTAAACATCTTTACCACCCTATAGGCGGTATAGGAGAACGAATTAAAAGTTAGAGGAACCCAGCAACGAAGTTGCTAATCCCTAAGTCGTAGAGAAAAAAAAATTTTTATATGCTTATTGTAACTTCTACCAGAAGTGTTTTTAAAAAACATTTCTGGTTAAAGTAGCACTGGGAACTTAAAATTTTTGTATGCACACAGTACCTGAGCAGTGAGTGTAAAAAACCAATGGTTTCCAATATGGTTCATAAATTTGAAGGATATTAATTCAATATTCTCAGCCTTAAATTCATTTTTTCCAGATACAAATTTCCAGTTAGCTAAACAAGCTGATGGATGACATATTATTGGTGGTAGTTTGATCTTTCTGCATACTTCAGTGAGCGGCACAGCAATTTGCGAAACCAATTTTAGCTTCGGCTGCAATAAAAAAAAAACATCAGTTTTATAATTTTTTGCGAAGTTTCTGACTATTCATTAATAAGTTTATGCTATTTATTTTTTACCTATATAAGTTTTTTGCTAAAACATTTACATGATCTCGGCCCTTATGCCAAACATAAGCGGCCTCAAGTGTCGTGAGAATGAGGTGTGCCAACCTTAGTTCACGACGGGTTTGCAATGTTGAGACGTCAATCAGTGGCAAAGCAATTATCTTTTCTTCTAATTTTCCAGATTTTAATAAATCTGGTAAGTTATCTGAAAGTAAAAAAGTGATTGTAATTAATTTTACATCTGTAAATAGGTACTGGTAAAAATCAAAGTACAAACGTTTAAAGTGGTTGAATAAAAAGAAAACTACCTTTATGTTACCAAGCAGTATTTGAACAATCAATAAAGTGGTATAAATATAAAAGTGTTGAAGAGTTCAAATATACACCTGTAATTTCATGCCACGGTTCAAATTCTGGCGGAAGCTTTTGTAAAGGATTTGGAAGTAGAAAAGCATAAACTGGATCAACTTCATAATTGTGTAAAAGTTCTTTAAGTGCCGAAGCCATTGACGAGTAATGAGTAACAAATAATATAGCAATTGACACCTAAAAAAACTGCTTAGTTTAGAAAAACTAAAAAAGAAACTCTTTGTGCATATTAAAACTTT